GTCGCGAGTTTCTGATGCCGACTTTGAAACTCCGAGTTTCGTGCAACGCGTTGCATCGCAGCAGACTGGTGCCAGGAGTTGGCTCATTGAGTTAGGCTTCAATCTCTTCTGCTCCGGCTGTCCAATCCAACAGGGTTAGAGAACCCAACAGCGAGGATTGAGGGAATATAACAAGCCTTAATTCAGCTAGGTCAGCCTCATCACGAGACGATCGTTTCATCATGCGGTGTGGCGGGCGCAGTGGCCCTAAAGATACGGAAATGGTATCAAATCATCATAGTGTGATCAAATGAATGGAATATATACAGTGTGCTGGACAGGCATCGGTATATCCACTGTGCCCACCCAAAGCATCGCTAACTCGACGCTCCCGTCCCTTGGCTACAGAAAACCGGACCATTGAGCGACCATGTGTATCCCGGAGCAAACAACGTCCTACACAGCGGGCATGGCTTGCAGTGCAGCCATGACTACAGTCAACGTGATTAGCCAAGCCACCTCGCTCAATGGAACCTGCCCCCGGGTGGTACTACCACCGTGGTAGTCTACCACCCTCTACCACTGGTAGAGGGTGGGAAAAAAAGAATCGGACAGTCTCAGATACAACTAACAATCGAATGAACATCATTCGATGAAGTGAATAGGTAACGTAACCGCGACTCTTAGACCTAGTTAGTAAACAGGAATGCAGACGCATGCCGCATCATCATCATGATCACGATCACCATCATCTTCACCATCAATTATCAGCCTGCCCTTGCACACTTGCAATTCCTCCATTGCCCTCGCGCCGATCTTGAACTCTAAAGCAAGGGCCCTTGCTTTTTCATACTATCCCGAGTCCGAGGCATTTCTCGTAGGAGCGTCTTGAACACAAGGGAAGTCATCTTGGAGATTCCGAGTCGGAATCTGCAACCTGAGGAATCTAAGTCGTCACGGGGTCCTGCTCCTGGTGAGTCGCCAGCGAGCATCGGATGCTCGCTACCTCATCTACGACGATCCTTTCGCGAAGGACTCCTTTGGAAGGAGCACCGTTTCCAGCTACCGGAGCGTCAGCATGGTCATGGACATCATCGGAAGTGACGTGTGATCTCTCAGATGTCGTTATACTGTAAATTTAGACCTTTAAATTTAAAATATTCAACGAAGATCGAAGATTCTTCATCGAAACTGAGTTTCTCGCAACAACCACCAGGCGTAGTATATGGTATACTGTATACCTAACATACCTTCCAAAGTCTCCCAATGGAAGACAAAACACAGGCTTCTTGCGCTCAAACGTGATATAACCAATATATTATAGCCGGGTATGATATAACCGTAAGACCGTATTACCGTATAGCGTATAACCGTATATTATTACCGTATTACCGTATTATAACGTCTTCGATTCTTCCGAACCCGTTCTATTGCGGCCGCAGTATCGCCCAATTTGGGCGGCCCAAACAGTGTGGACGCTATGTGTTTACCCACTGAACTTCAGTGACTGAAGCTCAACAACGAGTCGGTGTGCAGGTTTTATTAAGTGAACAAAACACCCAATATAGACCTGGTAACCGTACTATAGAAGTACGATAGTCGACGGACGTAACAGATCGTTATACAGTAATACAGCAACGACTAATACGTCAATGCAACTAGCGCTAGAGAGACAGCGGAACCAAACACAAAGACAACAATAGCACAGTCGAATCTCATCATCTTACTGCCTTAGCGATTCTCTACTTCATTCCGAAACCGGCACATCGGGAGTTTTCCGGATTATCGCTCACACGATGTGAGTCACATCTACATCTGACAGATGTCATCTGTCTTAAATCCTCCATGGGACATGCTTAAGCTTAGCAGCTTGGAACCAATAATTGTTTTACTTCAACTTCCATTCTCTCGCTATATCTAGAGCTTTGGAGAGCTTATGAGGTGACACCCAAGATGCTCCAAACATCTTCAAAGTCTTGTCCTTATTCTTGAACCTAGAGATTTCCCCTGCTGTGGCTGCGGCCACTTCATCCCTCACAAAATCAATTCTTCCTCGTTTGAGGGGAATACTGAGAGAAAGGCTTTCTCAGAGAGCTATTTTCCCAAGCTGCGTGGCTGCCAGAGACACTCTGTTACTCGCTTACTTTATCGGCTCGTTCGACTCAAATTCAATCGAGCCAATTACAGCACAAGCTGATCTGTAGCTCCAATAGGCCGAGCCTGTGACGTATCCTGGTATCTGAGTGACCCAAGACGGTTGCAATGATGATACTTATATCGTCGTACTACTATCGATCATTCTGCAATGACATTATCATAATCACAACCGAGCCCACGTGCGCGAAACTAGTCCTTACACCTTTCAGATAGGTCCAAATTTGCCAGGGATGAATTTCTTCCTCATCGTACACCATTGCTTCCTCGAAATCCCTCCGTAAAATCCAGGCTATGACTAGCGGAGCGAAGGTCTCAGGATGCTCGCTCATGAGCTTGTTCATGACTTTGATGTCAGGTATCTCTGTTAATGTTATTCCTGTTGTTTCCAGCTCCTTGAGAACCATCTTTCCCCATTGGATTATGGCCTCTTCACACGACTCGCCACCGCCGATCCTATTCAGTACTCCCGCTATCGGAAGGCTTCCAGGACTGGGGAACCACTGGAGATGGACCCTTTTGCTTTGCTCTTCCAACAACACCCATTCATCATCTTCGATTTCAAACGCGTTGGCGGCATCCTCTTGCTCATGGCTGCTCTTATTGCCGCTCAATCTATCGCAGTGAAACACTCATCCCCAAGGAGTAGCTCGATGAAGACCTACATGGTTTCTCCTAGAGTAGCATAGTCGATGACATACTTGCCCTTTTTCTTGTCAAATTTGCCAGCGACCGAAGCTTGCCACTACACGGAGCACTGTAGGAGTTCAAATTTTTATCTCGACCGCTTCCTTAAAGGAAGTTCCTCTCCCTCACCGGCTCTATAATACTCTCCAGTTTGCTTGTGCGGAATCCTTTGAAGTCGCTGGTCTCGAGGACGCAGTCCGAATGACTTCTAATGTGGCGTTCATCGCCTGCCACAATAACGACGAGTCCAAATAATATATGGCTATCTGCGCCAAGCCAGCTACGACATATCGACAGGGTTTGCCAGGCAGACGGCCCTCAGCCCTGACTGTGTGTGCTACACTACCCACCAGTGCGTCTAGCCCTCGGTCTCGCGGCACGATGGTGAACGGCCTGTTGAATGAGTGAGGCATTTATTCGTGCGAAACTTGTGACTTCTCACCTTGAACAACCTCCCCTCGATTTGAGCGGCCGAGAAGAGGACGATTGCGACTTCGAAACAGGGCATTCCCTTCATCTCAACCTGAAATCATCACTACTATTTTGGCTCATAGGCTCTCGCTTCTTCGAAGAGGGACCGCAGGCGGACTGTTTCACGGCCGGAAATGTGATTCTCGTGCACTGGAAATAGGTGAAGATTTTGTGCGGCGCGATTTACGCAGCGCGGTAGAAATAGTATCTGTCACCAATAGCCCCGCTTTATGGGAATCATGATGCTCGAGCTGGTCCTGCATGAGATTGAAGTGTGCGAAGTGAGTCGCTTCGTGACTGCCAAACCGTATAGTGGTCACTTCAAGTGACCACTGTATGGGTTGGCAGTGTCGGCATCGCAACTGTACGACTGAAATCTGATTGAGTTGAAAGTAAGCGGAAGAGCCTTGTACAAATATGTGTTCCATGAGTTGCCGCTGCACAATGTGATCCCCACCCTCGCCCCTCGACAATAGCCTGTTCTCAGCAGGACTATACGCCGGGCCGCCCGGCCCGGGCGTGTTACTCCCGGTTATGCCTGCCAGGCAGGCGCTGAATGCTCCTAGGCCGAAATCGTGGACACCATGAGCTGTATTTCCACCGACTCGCGCACGAGGACGGCAGGTTGGACGGCGATACCCTGATTCCCTCTCGAGGAAACGAATCGGCATCCTCGGGACTCTCTCGAGTCGAGAGAGTCCAGTTAATCAATTTATATGGATACACTGTTATTCTTTCAGTACAGCCTGCGAATCACTTATATGGGGATATACGGGTCCGTCGTTTCATCTGATATCATCGAGTGGCTGCCGCTGGGCGTTGCTATGCGCATGCGAGTCTGCTTAGTAAGCCGAGCGTATATTCGATACTCGCTGCTGCTCGGTTCCGTAACGGAGGGTTACAGCGTCCGTATCGATCACAGGCAACCCGAACTATATTCATGGAGTTCAGCCCAATGGATACCATAGATCAACTCACAAGTTGTGAGTCACAACCCCAACACAGTGTTGGCAACACTTTTGACTGAGTATTTGAGTAGTCCTCTGAGGACAACTCAGGACGCACGCCGCACACGAGTGACCGTGAACTGTAATATATGCTCCGCTCGCTTCGCTCGCTCCGCAAATTATTGTGAAATTTCAGTAAACTTTCAACCTACGTAGTAAAATCATTTTACACTACCTAATGACGAGCGAAGGATCGATTCTGAGAATGGAGGGTGGGTTTACTAAAAACCCGTCCTGAAGAAAGAAACTGCAGCACTTGCTGCGAGAGCTTCTACGAGCTGCCACAAAATGAGGATTTTATCCTCGCTATGGCCGTCCTCGCGTGATCTGAGATCACTGATCTCGACTCATCATCGACAGAACACTACCCCTGTGTGAATCCTGTCGAACAACATCTTCCACAAGTAGCTTCACTCAGAGCTATGGCAAGGGTCAACCTGTAATCCTGAGAACCATCGTAGCCGGGGAGTCAGAGTCTCTGACTCAGAGACAGGAAGAAGCTCCTTGTGCAGGTGATGCCTTTCAGTGAAAGGCTTTCACAGTTAGAGGTGTCAGAAAGTCTATTGCTTCCGCAGAACCCTTTGCAGTGCGGACGGTAAACAGAACACTTTCGATCTCAGCACGGCTACGAAATTGACTTCCCTGAAAATTTTTCAGGAATTTTTCAGTGAAAAACTCTCGATGCCGCCAAGCAACAATACAAGCTGGATGACGAGGTCGAACCGCCGACCTTCAATTTACAAGACTGACACTCTACCACTAAGCTAAACCGACTTAAGGATATCGGTGCTGACAGCACCGTGCTGTGATGCTGTTGCCTTCATTGCTGTGATGTCTCTGCCTTGAGTACTGTACAGTGTAACTCCGTATTGCTATGTTTCTATAGGTCGCCAAGTTGATCTATTCCACCATAGCTATTTTGTTGCGGTGTACGCAAGTACAATTCTGCCTCTCGGCTTACTCTGTGCTGTTGTGTTAAGCACAGTACCTAGGGCATCTGCAACATCTGGTGCCCAGACCCAGGACTTCAAGAACAGCGAGATGCCCTTCAAACTTGAGAGCGTGCTCAACCCCTATGATGGTGTTGGCGATTTTGCCCTGTGGCTTCGGGATTTTGATACTGTGGCGTCGGCTTCTAGGTGGAATGCCAAGCAAAAAGAGGAATACATCGTCCTCTTCATGGTGGGTTCTGCTAAGGACGTCGCTAGACAAGCAGTTGATGAGGTAGACGAGGATGCCGAAGATGATGCCGCGTATGTGAACGTGGTGAAAGCATGAGGGCAAGCATTTTCATTGAAGACCCATGAGGCTTGGAGGCTGCTCACTACAAGAACCTGGGATGTAGCCCGTGATACAGTGGACGGTGTGATGGCCGAGTTCCGCCGCTACATCAAGGTCCTTGGTGTCATGACTCCTGTTCCGACGGAGATCATCCTGAGGGAGAGCCTTATGGCTTGTTTCCCTGAGGATGTCAGGCGATCCATTGAGGTATTCTACGAGGACGGAAAGGAGCTGAGTTTGGCCGACATTGTTGCCAAAGCCAGAACCTTGTTGAAAACTCACCAACGTGCATCACCGTCTGTAGCTGCTGGTGTGGTGACAGGTGGCAAATATTGTTATAAATGTAAGCGTGTCGGTCATACTGCATCGGAATGCAGGCGAGTGGGTGATGGGAAGGGTCAACCCCCTCAGCAAGGACAAACTGGCAAGGGCAAGGGGCCTCGATGCTTTCGTTGTCATAAAGTAGGGCATATCGCCCGAGAGTGTCCGTCGAGGAAGCAGTCGTCCGTTGGAGCAGCAGGAGCAGCTGTCCAAGAACAATCTGATCTGGGTTTTCCGCCGGCAAGGCAACCTCAGGAGGGCGGGGTTTCCTTGCATATGTAAAACGTCCTCACCTACTCTGTAGATTTGGCCAAGAAGAGCACCAGGTCCCGGTCGATACTGGGTGTGACAGTAGCCTGATAAGTGCACAGTTTGTTGAGAAGAAGGGTATCCCTGTGGAGACGTCTACGGGACCGGTATCTTTCCGACTTATGGATTCATCTGCCACTATGAAAAGCCATGGCATTGTGAAGGTTGGCGTTGAATACCTGTCAGCAAATGGTTGGGTCCATGTCACACAAAACTTCCATGTTGTTAAGAACACTGCTCTCGGACCGGTGGTGCTGGGCAATGACTTTGCGGCTCTACATTGTCAGGGTATGACATGGGATGAGCACGGCCAGATCACTGTTGCTGCACGGGTGTGCGAGGAGAAGGTGAGGAGGTTGAGGAGGTGAAGACATATGGGCTACCTAATTTACCGGGCGTGAAGGTCTATGAATATGCCGATGGGAAGGTTGAGATTGTGAGCTCTGACTTCTACTTGTGACGGGAGCCCGGTGAGACACAGTTCACGTGCCGGTGGGTGTGGAGGAACGGTCATGCACCTGAACCATTTCACTCTGCTAACCGTGGTGACTAGAACCCCAAGCTCACTGAGAAGGAGGAGAAGGAGTTAGCCGCTGAGGTTGAGAAGCTGATCCAGAACAGTTGGGTGAAGGAGTTCAATGATGAGGTCTATAACATCATACCCTGGGTGTTAGTTCCACAACCCCATAAAAGCACAGCATTAAGGATGTGTCTTGATTCTCGACTCTTGAATAAGTACCTCGTCAACGATCCGATCCGTGATATGGTGAACTGTGTCGACACTCTGCACAAGTGGCGATCCGTCACTAAAGGGTACACCTTGGATGTGACGAAGTGCTACTATACGGTGCGAATGTGCCCGTCTCTGTACAAGTACATGGTGGTGATGATAAACAGTGCACTGTATTGTATGACAGTGCTACCCTTTGGTGTCTGCTTTGCACCAAAGGCGGTCACTGCTGTGATCACCTTCTTACTCAAGGATGTTCCCTTTCCTACTTCGTCATTCATCGATGATGTAATCATCGAGGAGGAGAATGATGTGGAGGTTCCAGTGAACGAGTCGGGCCAGTTACAGTATGATCCGCCAGCTGTTGTTGCTGTGCGGGAGGCCTTGGCGAGGGGGAACATGTACTGTAAGCCAGCACAGATCATTGGTGCGCCGCGCAGTAGGGTCCTTGGTCTTGATTTGCATATTCAGGATAGTGTGGTATGCTGGAGACGACGACAAGATCAGTCCCTGGATGTGGATCTCTGTGGATCTCTGACTAAGCGCGATGTGGCTCGGTGGTGTGGCCGAGTGGTAGGTCATGTTCCTATCGCCGGTTGGCTTCGTCCTCATGTAGCATCTCTGCTGCGTGCAGTGAGCCGTACGCCATGGGACGAGGAACTGGACGACTTCCTGCTGGACTTGGTGCGGTACATCGTTGAGAAGTTGGAGGAGGTCGGTGATCCAGCACGAGGAGCATGGTTCTGTCCGAGTCCATTGTCGAGGGATCCTGAGGGCAACAAGCTTTATCACTGGCACATCTATTGTGATGCATCAAATGCTGCTATGGGTGCGGTCTTGGCCTATGGCCTTCCTGATGGCCCACTCACTGTGGTTCGTGATGCATCCTGGTTACTTGACCGTCGAGCTCTTCTCCGACATGTGAATGTTAATGAACTTTGCGGTGCGGCTCGAGCTCTCGCGTGGGCAACCCCCTTCATTGGTGGACACGTCCATCTTCACGTTGACAATGAGTGTGTTAGGGCGTGGATTGAGAAGTTCATGCGAGGCGAGGCTGTCAAGAAGGGCGGTTTGTCAGCTACGGTGGTTGGTCGGAGACTCCAATCCATATATGACGTTGCTGAGACCTACGAGAGCTTCACTGTGCATCGTCTTGATACCTCAGCTAATCTAGCTGATCCACTGAGTAGAGTTGATGCTTCTTTCAGTAATCTTCTCAGCTACTGTGAGATAGGTGATGATGAGCAAATTGATGTTGAGAACGATCTGCTCACTGATGGTGCTGAAACTTCACCGGTTGGCTGTGCTGGTATAGCTACTAAGCTGGTTGGTGACGAGCTCATCCTCGACCTGGGAACAGTGGTTGAAGCTCAGTATGATGATGATATCCTCTTCAAAGTACGCCGTGCACTGAGAGAAGGCCGGTCCTTTCCTGAAGACGTTCCAGTTGATCTGCAACAAGTGGCCACAAGTTTCGAGATTGATGACGTCGATGTCCTAGTGCGGCGATACTACGCCGCCTATCAGGGAAAGGAGGTCGTGGTGCCAGTACTTCCTGGCCAGTTAGTCGCCGAGTTGGTTCACTCCGTGCATGGGTTACTATGCCATGCTGGCATGAGGCGTACATTGGAGGAAATCACTGGTATGGTCTGGTTCAGTAAGATCTGTGACATCGTCACTGAGATGCTACAAAGCTGTGATATCTGTGTTCGTAAGACGAAGCCCCTGTTGGTGAAACATGATGTTGGTCTCTTCTCTCCTAGTCTTTTGAGAGAGGCGACACCATGGTCTATAGTGTGTGCGGATATTGTCTATCTGCCACCTGGGGTACCTTACCTGTCACAGCAGTGCGTGGTTCCTAAGTTTGCCTGCTTGTGCAAGATATCTGGTGAAGATGTTAAGTCTGTCGCAGTTGCTTTTGAACAAGTCTGGCAGGTTATCGGTAAGCGTCCGCAGTACCTGTTGACTGATAATGGTGCGGCCTTTCTGAGTTGTAACCTACCAAACGTTACCAGGCTGTTCACTGCGCCATATTCAAGTCCATCCAATGGTATGATAGAGTCACTGCATCGTACGGTGCGACTATGGATGCGCTCTTCAATGGCTGATGACGACAGCCTTTCGCCAGATAATGCTGTCAGCAAGGTGATGAAGGCCTACAATAGCACGGTCCACTCTGTTACACGTCGTATACCGGTAGAAGTATTCAAGCTGGATCCTATTGGTGAGGCTTCCGATCGTGTGGAGTGGGAACGCCTGGTTAATAATGCTGTCAAGTTGGCTGAGGAGAAGCTGCAACGGTCTACGAAGCATGATTTATTTCCAGGTGCAATTGTTCGCTTACGTGATGTTCATATTGCTTTGCGTAAGTCGGATCAGCCGCCTTATGCTGAGAAAAGGTGGCGTATTATAGGATTTCTTTCGAATAAAGGACTTGTTACCGATCGAGATTCTTCTGATTATGGCCTCTTCAGGAAAGCAAAAATTATATGTGAGAAAGAAATAAAAGTAGTTCATGTCTCACGTCTTATTCGTTGCTTTCCAGCTGAGGTTGATGTTGAAGATTTACGTAGAGCTATGCGTAGGCTCCAGAGGGACAGTTCATCAGTGCAGTGAGTTACTAGCACTGACGCATTTCTTTCGTTATTTCCCTCGGGCCTATTAGCTAGAATTTCATCACAGAATTTCGGCAAGGAGGGCGGATGCTGTGATGCTGTTGCCTTCATTGCTGTGATGTCTCTGCCTTGAGTACTGTACAGTGTAACTCCGTATTGCTATGTTTCTATAGGTCGCCAAGTTGATCTATTCCACCATAGCTATTTTGTTGCGGTGTACGCAAGTACAATTCTGCCTCTCGGCTTACTCTGTGCTGTTGTGTTAAGCACAGTACCTAGGGCATCTGCAACAATCGGCAAGGCAAACTATGTGTCCACCGGCACAGGAAATCTCCGATCTCGAATCAGCTGAGCCGGCTTGAGAAGCTTCCAAAAAGCAGAACTGCATGGGGCATGCTGTTGATTATGTCAACATTATAAAGATTGTGAGGTATTGTTCTTGCGGTCGTAAGAGATGTTCCCCCATTCACTGGCGTCGAGTCAGAAGTGCCTGACGAAGTCCCTCCAGTTCTCCACAG